TGTAGGAGTAGAGCTGTCTGCACAGCACTGAAGACAGAGACTTGGACTGCCCAAGAGGGTAACTGCAAAGTGTCAGAGAAACTAGCCTAAGCTGCACCTGAACAATTCAGCAAGGAATATGAGGTGAGCATTGAAGCAGGTAGCTCAGATGAGGTTTTACAAGTGTCATATGTTGCTCAGCCAGACCATTTTAAAACTTCAGGGAGCAGAGGATGCATGAAAAGTGTAAAACACGCTGTGGAGGTCTGCTAGTCTAAGCATAGCAAACCACCTTTTCTGGTGCTGGACATGCTACCAAAATCATGAACGCAGTCTGCAAATAATTAGAAGGTTGTGCTCTTTAATCACTTTGGGCACAGGAATTATGCCCTAAAATTTCAACAAAATTCCTAGGGTATGGATGTGGGTATGGAGTGGAAGGGGTTATACAAGGTTTTTCCTGCAGCTTTGATTGATTTGCCAGAGTCCAATCACCTGGCGGTATCTGCATAGCCAAGTGGTTTCAAGATTAACTCCCTTTGTCTTGTTAAATATGATCTAGAAACTTTAATTTAAACTAAAATCAGTAGATTGTACAATCAGATTGTAATGTGTGGCCAATTCTTTCATTCTAATCCAACCAATAAATGGTAGCATAATGCACTACTGATGAAAACTAAACTCCAAGATCGTATGAAATTGATGAAACGTTTTTATAAAGTTATCCTGTCGGCCATTTCAAATGTTTAAAATGAAAATACTTGCTCAAAAGATGCCACCAGGAAATACCTGCTACTATTCTGCTTAGTTACACTCCACTATTGTGCTCTGTTTGACATTCTAATGTTAGTTTCACTGAGAAGTAGGGATAGTCATAGCCCCTACTACCTGCTTTGCCCCTGTCCAATAAAGGTGCCCTAAATGGTAAGTGTATTAATCCCACTAAACAATTTTAAAAAAATAGGATTTTGGTACTCAACGTAAAATCCCTTTTCTCTGCGTTCATTGAAGGGCACACCGAGATTTGAATCTCTCACAGTTGGGTTATAGCTCCACCTTAAAGAGTAAGACACTAGGCAAAAATACAAAACACAGCCTAGGGGCGGGCCCCTGCTGGTGGCCAATGGGCCCCGTGTTGGGACACAACCCCCCCCCCCCCATTCACAACAGCCAGAGGCAGCTCAGTTAGTCACAAATGCAATATAAAGCAATGCATAGAGCAACAGATGACCACAGGCAAAACAAACAGAACGGTGGGTGCTGTGTCCTTCAATGAATGCAGAGAAAGGGATTTTACAGCGAGTACAAAAATACTATTTTCTTTTCTGTTCATTGAAGGACACTGAGATTTGAATCTCTCACGGTTGGGACGTCCAAAAGCAGTGTCTACTAAAGGGTGTGAAAAACCCCAATCGACCCAGGCAACAACAAAACATGCTGCCGTGTGTAGTAGTCCCTGATAACATATACAAAGGCCTACGCCAAACAAAGAAGCCAACCCCTGAGGGGACAACAGCCTTCTGGAACAGTTCTACAAGCACTTAGCCCTAGTAAAAGTATATGGTCACAAAAAACCTGTGAACAAATTAGTAATTTTCCTGATCTGATCAAAAGGCAGTTTGAAAAAAAACTGAGGAATCAAAGCAGATCCCATAAGTCATGAGGAAACATATTGGGGAAGCCACAGAACATCCCATACCATGGAGACAAAGACCGGAAGGCCAACGGTCTCTGACAACTGCTTAATGCGTACACCAACTTTTGGAAGGTGCTAATAGGATACACTATAGAAAGAAAAATCTGGGGAGAGAATCCCCAGGGTCTCACCAAAGAGCAAGCCTTCCACCAACGATGGTATTCCAGCCAGGAAAAAAAGGCTACAGGTCAGAACCCCCATGAGATCAAAGCTTCCACTTCGACAAGCTGCCACTGTCCCTCAGGAGCCAGGCTGTAGGCTCTGACTGTAAGCTCCAATAACATGCCATGCAGAAAATTCAAAACATGCCATGCAGCAGATCCAGAAAAGTCCACAAAGCATCTGCCAAGAATCCAACCAGGATGGATAACACATCTACCTAGGACAACCCAAAGCAGTGGGTAACACTGAACAGCTTTCCCACTCATACCTGCATAGTAGATGAGCTGGCAGGGATAAAGAGGTGAAGAAAAGGCAATATAAATCCCATGGAGCCACATGAGCATTCTCCATTGCTAACAGAGGATTCCTGATCTGGAAACGAACCCGTCCAGTTGACTCCAGAGATTAGAAATTCTACATCTGGTGTCCTGCACCGGAAACTCAAATCTTAGAACACCTTAGAGAGTGTGGAAATCAACCCCATGGATCCAGGCGCTGCTGGCTAAAGTACACAAACTGCCAATATGCCACACCTGGGATACAAATGGTGAACAGGGATGGAAAGTGCAGTTCGGTGGCACTCGCGCTCCTTGCTGTCCTGCAGTCTTATGGACACGAGCCGAAAGAGAAGCCTCCTCATCTTCCGGTCTCTGCCTCAGTTATGTGATAAATACTCAAGCTACCCTTGGATCCAGGACAGGGGTGTCACAGCCACAAAGCTAAGAATCTGCATGCTCTCTATGGCTGAGCTGGGGAGAAGGATCTAGATCAGTGGTGGCGAACCTATGGCACGCAAGGCCCTTTCTGCTGGCACGCGAGCCCACGTTCAGGCCCCAAAACATTAAGGCTGCCGACATGTCGAAGGGCGGAGAAATCGGCAGGCGAGCGAGTAGGAGGAGAAGGGGGACGGAGCGGCAGGGGATGGAGACAGAGGGAGAAGTGGGCGGAGATGGAGGATGGGAGGAGACGGGGGACTGAGCGGCATGAGACAGGGCCGGAGACAGAGGTAGATTTAGGCGGAAATGAAAGAGGACGTGAGGAGACGGAGCGGCATGAGACAGGGGGAGATGGAAGAGGCCTGTGAAGACCGAGGAGGCAAAGGCAGAGACTGCGATGGAGGAGGCGTCGCCAAGGGGCCAGTCTGCTCTGCCGCCTGCAAAGCCCACCACAGATCCTGCATAGCCCCTCTGAGATCTGGCAGACTTCAGGGTCTCATGGGGGCTTTGCAGGATCTGTGTGGGCTCTGCAGCCCCATGGTGGGCAGAGCCCATTACAAATCCTGCACAGCCCCCCTGAGACCCTGCAGACTGCAGGGCTTCCACTGGCCTGTGCAGGATCTGTGGTGGGCTCTGCCACTAAAGACCCCGCAGAGCTCACCACAAATCCTGCTAAGCCCCCCTGAGACCACAGCTTTCCTGCTAATAGCGGAACATGTCAGAAGTTGGATACAGTGTTTGCACTGTATCCAGCGACTGACAGGCCACGCAAAAAGTATTAAACAGGAAGGGGTGGGGTAAATTTAGTGGGGGTGGGGGCGCCCGTGTTTTGCCTTGCCTAGGGCAGCCCCAAACCAGAATACACCACTGCGTTCAGGGACCACCAATTGAAATAGATCCGACTGACCCAGATCGCCTTGGTATGCGATCCGGGCCAGTCACAATTAGGCAGCGGCAGCCAATAAACAGGTAGGTTAGACGGCTGCTTCCTCCTCGCTAGGACCCCGGGAGGCCCCCGCAAGCGGCCGTCTAATCTGCCTGTTTAGAGGTCACCACCGCTGCCTGATTGTGACCGGCCCGACTACAGAGGCGATCCGGGACGTTCGGGTCCCCCGTGAGAGCAGTACAAGGCCGTAAGGCAGTGATGTTGAACGTTTCTTAAACCCGAGCGCCCAAACTGCAATGCTAAACTTATTTTCAGCGCTGGCACTTTGAGATAAATAAATTGATTTTGCGTCGCAGTTTGGGCACTCGGGTTCAAAAAGGTTCGCCATCACTGATCTAGATTATCTAGCCTGTCACCCAGCTCAACTGTTGATTGAAGGTCCTATAGCCTGAAAATAAAAATACCAGGGCTCAAAATTTCACGTCCTGAGCTACTAGCCATGCCTTAAGAGTTACCAGTTGCCCCACCTAATCCCTACCCTTCCCTAGCACTAACTCCCCCCTAAACACACCAGCACTGTAATGCACGTTACAGAGGTCAGTGCTGTAACGCACATTACAAAGTTCAGTACTGTAAGTAACGCACATTACAGAGCTCAGTATTGTAACGCACATTACAGAGGTCAGTAGTGCACATTACAGAGGTCAGCTCTGTAACGCACGTTACAGAAGTCAGCGCTGTAACACACGTTGCAGAGATCAGCGCTGTAACGCACATTACAGAGGTCAGTAGTGCACATTAGAGGTCCGCACTGCAACGCACTTTGCAGAGGTCAGCGATGCAACGCACGTTGCATAGGTCAGCGCTGCAATGCACGTTGCAGAGGTCAGCGCTGCAACACGCGTTGCAGAGGTCAGCAGTATAAGGAAGAAAAGGGACTTACAGTTCATTTAGGTGGTATTCAGGTGCCCTCTTCTTTCTCCTGGTGGTGGTGCAGGTGCCTGAAAGAGCCGAAGGAGCCGAAGACAGCCGAATCTGATTCTCCTCCTCCTCGGCCGCGGCAGAGCGAGCCAGGAGGAGTGAACACAAAGCCAGCGATCGCCGCTCGGAAGCGGCGGCAGTGTTCGATTGCACGTCCTGCCGGCGGCGCTCCCCCTCCATGGCATTCCACTCGACCCCACGCAATTTTCACTCGCAAATTGCGAGGGGGCGAGTGGAAATTTTTAGGCCTGAAAATACCCTGCAAAAAGAAAGGGAACCAAGATTCCCAGCAGGGAGCTTAGGTCCTTATTCTTTGACACTAGGCGAAAAACTGGGCTGCCTCCCTAGGCTGTGCTTTTTTCTTCTGCCTAGTGTCCTACTCCTGAAGTTGGAGCTCTAACCAATCTCAGCTGTGTCCTTTAATGAATGGAAGAGAAAAAGGGATTTTTCACCGTTATAGAAGATGGTAGAAAGCCATTTAATAAAGCTGACAAAATAAAATACCATATATACTAATGTATCTAAACTAAAAATGATACAAATCTCACTGTAAGACCAACAAACAATAAAATATATTTACCTATTAGATCACTAATTTTGTCTGTAATGGTGCGTGAAGCCCTGATAAATGCATTGTCACTTTCATCATATTTCATCTTCATTTCAAAGAACCCTGTATAAGAAAAAAGTCATTATCAGTTTCTTTCAGTTGTGAATGCAGTTACCACAATCAGCAAACCACTTAAATGAGCTCACTTTTAAAAGCAAAATTGTAGCACCATGAAGCCTTGAAATTTGCTACAACTCTAAATGCCAAAAAGTTGGGATGCTGTGTAAAATCTACATAAAAACAGAGTGCAATGATTTGCAAATCTCATAAACCCATATTTTATTAACAGAAATTAGAAAACATATCAAATGTTTAAACTGAGAGAATGTACCATTTTAACCTCCCTGGCGGTCTGATTATTTAATCCTTTGTTAAATTTTTTTCTTCTATTTCTTTTTGTTTTTACTTTGAAAATTCCCGCCGGTTCTGCCCCCTTGTTAAGCGGCCGCTCGCAAGGGACAGAACCCGGACGACAGATGCCAGCATCGGCCGGAGGACACAGGGCGGCTCGAAGGACAAGGTAAGTAACGATATGCTGTAATCCCTTGTGGCTCAGGGTTACCGCTTATGGTACTGAAAATTAACCCCGAGCCACACTCGGGATTACCGCCAAGGAGGTTAAGAAAAAAAATAAGGTATTTTGGAAATTGATGGCAACATCATGTCTCAAAAAAGTTGTGACAGGGCCATTACCACAGTGTAGCATTCCCTCTTCTTTTAACAACACACTGTAAACATCTGGGAACTGAGGCCAGTTGCTGGAGTTTTGGGAAAGGAACGTTGTCCCATTCTTGATGGGACAACATTCATACATAGTGATTTTTAGAAATATTCCTGAGCCGTTGCAGTGATGTCCATCACAGAATTATGACTGTCTTTAATGCAGTGCCATCTGAGGGCCCGTAGATCACGGCCATCCAATATTGCGTTTTGGCCTTGTACCTTGTACATAGAGATTTCTCCAGATTCTCTGAATCTTAAATAGAAAATTGGCCAGATCCATCAAAACCAAGTTATAAGAAGATACCCAATTGGGAACCATGGACTGTAGCAGAGCAGTCAGTGAAGAAGATTAGACCGGATAGGGCTGAAAGTAGATTTGATAGAAATATGCGGGTTTCAGACAAAAATGTTTATGCTTGTGTATCTATAGGTAGTTTCCATTGTTTATCCACCCTTTTCTTCCCCTCTCTCTTTTCTTCTATTCTCCCGGTCTCACTCCCCCTGGTTTAGGCCCCTTCCCTCTCACCCTTTACCCTTCCCTGGAGGG